ATAAAAGTAGAAGATGAATATCCAGAGCTTGCAGAAATGGCTTTAAATTCTCTTTTTCCTTTCTCATCTACCTACCTCTGTGAGACTGGTTTCTCTACTATGAATGTTATTAAAACAAACATAGAAACTGTTTAGATATACACCATCCCTTCTTTGTAGCGCTTTCATCTATTTAGCCTAGATTAGACAAATTAACAAGCAAAAAGCAAGCTCACCTATCGCACAAAAAGCTTTAAATAATAATATACAAAATGTTTGTTTCAAGTACGCATATCAGCATTTAACATGGAGAATTGCTGTTTCCCTCCTAACTTTTTGTTTCATCACAAATGTGGAATGACAAGAAAGTACCGAAGCAAAGCTATTAATTGCCTGTACTCAGGCTTTCAATGAACAGCGGACACATTTCTGCAATTTACTTTTTCCTATGCATTGTTCTCTGATTATTGAAATATATGTCTATTGAATCTAATAAAATATATGGGCTTGTATTTTATATCTTCTCTTTTTTATTTCCCTTTTCTAATAATTCTTTTTTTGTTCTATATCCAAATGTATTGGTCCACCTGGATTGGAGGGGAAAATCTGGTCCTTCATTTCAGAGAGTTTGAGAAAAACTTCTCTATAGTAACCTGCATGTTAATGACTACTGTCAAACACAACTCAAGAAAAAGAAAGAAGGCTATTAACCCGTATGTATATAGTGTTGGCTACCTGCCAGGCATGTCCCATGTGCTTTACAAGTATTAACTCATCTGCTTTTATGTTATGAATTAGGTACTATTGTATCATTGTATTACTGTTGAGACTACTGAGGCACAGAGAGGTTGAGTCCCTTGCTCAAGGTCACACAGCTCTAAAGCAGGGCCTAGTTCCAGAGTCTGAGCTCTAATCCACAGAGAGATGTAACACAGGTGTCGTAGACATAGTCCTCCACCAAATAACTATGAGCTTACGTGAATCATTTAACTCATGAGGGAAAAGAAAAGGAAGAATTAGAAAAGATAACAGAAGCTGCAATGGAGAGTACTTCCCAGGTGCCAGGCATTGAGCTAAGTGCTTTCCATGCATGATCACAGTGTCTCCTGAGGGTGGGGCGCTGTAGGAAATGGTTTAGGTAGTATGGGAGATGACTTAGTGGTGTATGGGCAAGGCAGAAATCAAACTGCATCACATAATGAGAAAGCCATTCTTTCTTCAAGCCTCTGACTCCTTCTGCCCACATCTGGTGGAGTCTCTTTGGTGCAGGTCTTAAATGACTTTCTTACATTGGCTTATTTCCTTTTGTTCCAAAAGGAGAGCAGGCCGGAGCTGAACAATTTCTCTGGCAACAAGATCAGTTTTTATTTTCACTGCACCTTCGATTTAGGGCAAGTAATTCTCTGTTTATGATAAGGACATAAAATTTCCTTTCAAAATATATTTAAATTTCGAACAGGAGCTATGGAAAAATACAAAGAGGATAATAATATAGTTCTTACATGGACTTGGAAAAAATTATGATGAATGAAGTTTGGAAAATACCTTGTTATCTTTCAACAACCTGGTAAGGTAGGTATGATTGTTTTCCATTCATAGGTAGGAGACCTGAGGTTTGGAAAAGTTCAGTAACCTTCCAAAGGCTACTCTGTAGGAAGGTGAGGAGTTGGGATTCAAACCTAGAAGTGTCTGCCTCCAAAACTGCCTCCTTTACATGACAATCATGCTGGTTTCCTCGAGGACTGTCACTCAGAGCCTTCTGATTGTACTTCGCTTCTAAATCAACAGTTCTCACTGCGTGCGCCTTTCTGGTAGTCCTCCAGAAAGGTCCTCCTCTGGGTACTTTCATCGTAATCCTATGATGTTGTTCATCCCTTTCACTCTTGTTTGCTCACGAGTGTATAGGGAAGTTTTCCAGAGGCTACATGACATGTGCTATCACAACACACTGAATGCAGAAGCAGATATGAGAATCCAGCTGCCTTCAGTTAAGCCAGAAATTAAAAAGATTGACGAAAAAGTAAATAATGGCATTCTTCTCATGGAATCTTTTTCATTTGTTGCCTTGTTTTAGAAAATACAGTTATTTTTAAAAATGTGATTTATGTTAACATGTGGTGGGTTTATTGTTATTTTTAAGTAAATAAATATTTTACACATTTATCCATCTTAATTTTGAGTACATTAAACATCAATATGTATAGCCCATAGAAACAAGTTCTTTGGGGTCATCAAGAGTTGTATAAAGGAGTCTTAAGGTGGAAAATATGTGATGGGATAATATTTTTTAATATTAACGGAAGAACTTTTTTCTCCCAATATTTCCACCCTTCCTTTCCTCCCCTTTCCCTTTAAGTAGGTAACCCCTGTGATTCATTGCTTCAGCAGGGGGACATTACCGAATGGAAAGCAGAAATAGGGTCTAGCTTTTGTGTTTCCCAAAAGCCTAAACCTAATAGGGAAGTTATGCTAGGTGCTTTGAAATAGGAATATCAAAACGCAGCAAGCGGGGCTTCCCTGGTGGTGCAGTGGGTAAGAATCCGCCTGCCAATGCAGGGGACACGGGTTCGAGCCCTGGTCCGGGAAGATCCCACATGCCGCAGAGCAACTAAGCCCGTGTGCCACAACTACTGAGCCTGTGCTCTACAGCCCGTGCTCATAGAGCCCGCGAGCCACAATTACTGAGCCCAAGTGCTGCAACTACTGAAGCCCATGTGCCTAGAGCCCGTGCTCTGCAACAAGAGAAGCCACTGCAATGAGAAACCCACGCACCGCAATGAAGACCCAATGCAGCCAAAAATAAATAAAATTAAAAAGAAAAATACAGCAAGTGCCACCGAGAAAAAATATAGCAATGTTGAGAAAGGGCAGTTTTCCCAGGGCTAGACAAATATTTCTCACCTCTTGAGGGTGGGTGTGGGGAAGAACAAAGACAGAAGAGAGATTAGGAGAACGGAAAGAAGACTGGGCTGAAGGGGCCAGGAAGACAGAAACTAGGCACTGCTCAGCCACAGTGGAGCCTCTTCCATTGTCCTGGAGCCACGTGGGACCGGGGAAGTGTCACTGCCTAAATTCAGTGTCTTTGAGAGCCAGCTGCCCCCCTCCACCCCTATGATGGTCCGCAGGAGTGACACATTCTGATTCACCCAACCTGGTCACCCACACCCTGAAAACGTCCCTGGACCATCAGAAGCCCAAGGTGGGGGCGTGGTTGGGGCCCTGGATGCCTGGAGGGGTAGTGGTTGTGGGGATGAGAGGTAACAGCTCTGGACCCTGTAATTGGAAGTTCAGATTGGAATCGGCTGCAGATCGCCCTGAGCTGGGGGAGCAGTTTTTACAAATATTAGGAGCATCACACATACCTGTTGGCAGATAAGCAAATAAGGGACCGTGTGGTATTCCAGCAGAAGCTGCACACTGATTGCAGTGTCCTTGGGTTCAGCCCACAGGTAAGTATTCTTGGTCCAGTACAGGGCATCTGCTTGGTCCAGTACAGATGCTCTTGGGAGGAGTCCACGAACCATCCAGGGCCCACTGTCCTTTCTCCCAGCCAGCCCCTGCACCCATCCACATTCCCTGCCTGGCCCCTGAGGACACCTGACTTTTCTGAGCCCTGCGATACAAAGTGGGTGATCTATAGTAGGACTCCTCAAGATGAAACCCTGAAACTACACAGAATCATGAGCCTCTGCATTTTTCTGAGGAGAGCGTCTTAGCTTTCACCAGCTCCACAGCAGATTCTCTGACACCTGTGTTGGAATCCTGGTTGCTATTCACTGGCTGTGTGACCTTGAGCATGTCACTTAACCTGTCTGTGCCTCCGTTTCCTCTTCTGTGAAATGGGGGTGTTAATAGTATCTAACTCTTAGGGCTGATGTGAGGATAAATGAGCTTATACTACATATGAAGCGTTTGGAATGGCAAACCCTTCAGAGCTGTTGGCTGTCATTATTACAGGGGAGGTAGACCATGGGGGCAGGGGGTAGGGGGTAGAAACCCTGTGTCAGAGGGGCCAGCCTAGAGCAGAGAGGTGACTGAGGACACCTTGGGTGATCCCGGCCCATCTTGAGGATGTAGCCTGTGCAGCCCTCAGAACCCATTCATTCAGCAGACAGTCCAGTACACTGGAGACCAACAAGTCTTCTCTGCACATGACCAGAAAGGCTGCCGGCAGCTGGAATATGTGTGACTCTTGTCCTGGGAAAGATAAGGATCTGCAGGTGGCAGTCAGAGGGGCCTGGAGCCACGATCTCGGAGACCACGGTTCTGCCCTGGAGACCAATGCCGCTTTAGTTCTAGGCCCGAGACACCACGCTGGGCGGCCCAGGCAACAGAAGGCACAGCAGCGTCCGCCAGCAACTGGAATCCTGCTCCAGCACTTTCTAGCTGAGTGTTCTTGAGCAACTTACTGTAAACCTCCCTAAGCCATAGTTTCCTCTTTTGAGAAATTGAGCAATAATATATCCACTTTACCAATTCAATGACATAACATAAGCAAGACACTTAGCAAGTACGTAGCCACTGCTCAGGAAATGGAGCCATGTCTCTGGCAAGGTGTACAGTACTGAGGCAGGGCTCACGGGGGTCCAGGGGTCTAATCGGATGGGACTCCTTGAGGAACAAATCCAAAGACCACTACAGCGAAGACATATTTGACCCATTTGGGGGTCATTTTTTGCTTCAGCTTCTCTTTAAGCTTGGGAATTTCTTAGGGCTCCTTTGGGCTTCTTAGGAACCATGAAAGGGGGAAATGAAGATGAGAATATTCTTTCAAAATTAACTCCTCCCCCCACCCAATATTCCCATGGTGAAGAATCTGTGGCACTCTTATAGTCACAGAAGTCCATTCCAACCAGCTTAAGAAGACAGCGCTTTACTCACAGGCTTGGAGAACAGGAAGTACTCAAGGCCACAGGCCCTCACCTGTGCTTCCAGGGGATGCCTGCTTCTTTCCTCTCTCTCTGCAGGTCTGCTTTCTCTTCTTGATGATGTAACCAGAATGGCTGACCCAGCCCAGCTTTGCCTCATTTTGTAGTTTAAATGCAGCAGATCAGATGTTCCCTGTTCTCAGATCCAAGTTCCCAGGAGAGGAAATTTATTGGCCAGCTCCTGTAACATACTTGGACCTGCTGCTGTCAACCAAAAGTATGTACATATGGGGTGGGAGGGGGAGGAAACAGGAGTGGTACAGACACACAGGCTCAACCAGTTCATAAAAGAAGATCAAATGGCTAAGGAACACCCACCTGAAAAGATACTCATCTTCGCTAAAATTCAAAGAAAGGCAGATTAGCCAATAATGTGACGTGCTCATTTTTTTCTTTTTGGACATCACATTGGCAATAATAAAAAATAAAGATAATTGCAGGAAACTTGTTAAAAGTATAAAGTGATATGACTTTTCTGGTTTGCTATTGAGCATTAGGTTGTCATATTTTAAATGTACATAAGCTTTAACCCAGAACTTTTAGTTGTAAGAAATTACCCTAAAGAAATAATTAGAACATGCAAAGGCATATATGTATATAGATGTTTATTGCAATACTTTTAATATTTAAGAAAAACTTAGAGGATCATAGACGCCCTTCAGTGGAGGGTAAAGATTATGGTACAAAGGAATACTACTGAGAGGCCATTATAAAAGATGGGATAGATTCATATGTAAGATGTACACGACAAGCTATTTAAAGTAAAAAAAAAAGCAAACCACAGAAAAGAGTAAATAATGTGATTCCATTTTTGTCAAACATGCAGTATATAGTACATACTGTACATACTATCTTAGAAATATGTATGCATACACTCTATATGTATTTGTGTATGTGTGTATACATAATATATAACAATTACACAGTATATGTTGTATAACAGTTACACATTGTATATACACACATTTATAGATATCTGTAAGGATAGATATAAAACTAATAATTTTGGCCATCTCTGGGAATAAATAGAATTATGGAAAGTTTTCACTTCTTGCTTTCTCCATTTTTATATTATTGAACTTTTTAAAAACAAGCTTGAATTATTTTAATAACTGGATGAAAAAAACTAGTAAGAGATTCCATTTCTGGGGGGAAAGAGAGTACAGATTTTATATACAAAAGAGAAACACTTGCTATTTTAAAATTAAAGAAGGACAACAAAAATCCATTTTCCCAGTGACAGATAGGCATAGGAGGTGGCAAGGGCTTTCTAGGGTGGAAAGGATAAAAGTCAGTTTCTCCTGGTACCACAGAGTACATGAGGTCTGTCCTACTGGAAGAATTTGGCTAACCCACAACCCAAAGGGCCTTCCCCCTTCTGCTGTAGATGAATGAATGAACTTAACTGAATTGCACACTTCAGCTCAAATCTAGAGATAATATGTTTATATATTTACATATGAAAAGAGGAGGCAGGTAGTAAATGATGAGAGTTGAGGTATGCAGCCAAGTGAGGGGTCGGATATAGAAAGAACCAGAAGCCAACCTGGGAAAAGTGAAGATGGCCTGGTTCAATTCCAGAGATGGGTTTGTGTGGGTGCCTGGGGCCTTTTTAAAGGAAATTGAATAGGTGGGGGAATTGAAACTCTCACTGGGATTATTATTATTTTTTAAGTGTTTCCCTTCGTATCCTTCCTTTCTTGATAGAAACATGCTAAATATTTTTAAAAATCCCCCAGAAAAAGAAAAAAATCAATAAAAGGTCCCATTGTGCAGAGGGGGGAAGGATAAATTAGAAGTTTGGGATTAATATATGTACACTACTATATTAAAATAAATAAGCAACAAGGACCTATATACCTGAGTATAGCACAGGGAACTATACTCAATATCTTGTAATAATCTATTATGGAAGAGAATATAAAAAAATAATATATATATACACACATATATATTTGAATCACTTTGTGTACACCTGAAACTAATACAACATTGTAAGTCAACTCTATTTCAATAAAAAATTTAAAAAATCCAACAGAAAAAAATAAATATAAAAGAGCCCATTGTAATTTCTTTTAATACCATAGTGGATTTCAATGGGGGAAAAAACTAATCTTGCTGTGTAGGCCACTTTACAAGAATGCCTCAAGTTCACACATAGCAGGAGAGTTGTGTTCATTTGGCATAGATAGAAAGCAATTTCAATTAGCACAGTCTTTTGTCTTTGTAGTAGGCAGTTCACTAATAAGGCATTTTAGAGCATTGTTCACCAACAGCATTAGAAGTGAGTGAATTTCACCATATTACTTTTTCAGACCTCTAACACCTTGGCAGGCAGACTCTTGTAGAATAAGACCTGTTTCTCCTTTTCTTTTAGAATTCCACTCTAAGCAAGAAACATTTGCTTAATGCCTACCTAGGGACTTCAACATTGCTAGTGCATATAATGGCTTTCCAAAAATGTTTACGGTAATGGGAATTTGGGGGATAATATACCACTGGCCATACTGCCAAGACAGCTTTTTGAATGATTGTTCATATAAAGCCTGCCAAATTGCTGATATTAGCAATTGTCATTCCTTGCATTACGAGATTCTGAAGATGAAAATAATAACTGGAGACAGACAGCAAGAGCTGACAGGTCATCTTTCTCAGCTCCCTCAGGTTAGATAGGAGGAAATGAGTCTCTGAGAGAGCAGGGTGTTGTCTAGTTTCATGACTAAGAAGTGGCAGAGATTTTTTTTTTGTTGCAAATCCTATGCTCTTTTTTATTATCACTCAGCATGCTGCTCTCAGACCCAAGTCTGTCTCAGAAATGCCAAACATTCTCTTCTCCCTACCCACATTGCACCTTGGAGACTCTGCCCCACTCATCACCCTGGGAGGGTTACACTACCTACCATGTGACTGTGCCCCATCAGTCTCAGTGACTGACCCAGGGATAGATATCTGACCTCAGCTGGGCTGAGCAGATACCCTCCCAAGAATTTGGAATAGGGATAAAGAGGCTGAGTCATTGAGCTGTGCGGAGCCAAGCTGCAAGGTCATGGCCAGCTGGTCTGTCACAGCAGCCACAAACCTCATACTAGTGAGGGAGGGGAAGCTGAGAAATCATGAGTCAGCAGAAAAAGTCCATCTGCAGAAGGATGGAGCAGATGTCCCAAGACAAACAGAGACACAATGTACCTCCAAAGGTAGAGGAGAGACAGAGGGAGAAAAAAAATCTGCATAATCCCCTTTTGGTCCCATAACACCCAGCTTTATCTCCTGCGCTGCTTATTGTAACCCTGTAATAAACTCTGCCTTTCAATCAATCCTCTTTTGATTTGAGCTAAGTGGAATTCTGTTCTTTGCATCTAAATTTTTCTGAAGACACTCCAATTCATATTGAATAAATTTTTGGGTGAAAAGACTGCTCTGTTTTTTATGAAGATTATGGAAATTGAAGTCTTATCTCAAAACCCACAACAGAATGATTGGTTTTCTGCATTCTCTTCCCTAATTATCCAGACCCCTGGAGACCAAGCTTTCCAGGTGAATAATTTCCAGAATTTCTGATGGGAGTTAGCCCAACTTTGGGTCTTCCCTCAAAGTATGCTAGAGTTATTCTGTCCAGAGATAGAGATCTTACTGGGGTCTGTAGCTGCCACTTTGGGAATATATGTCAGGACTTCCTAGAGTATTTCCATTTAAAGTTTCTAAGGCTTCAGCTTGCTTTCTCATAAAAGCTCTGTTCCTTTGGATGTACTTGTGGCTTAACATTGACCCAGCTGGGAGGTGGCCATATCCATGAGAAGTTCAGGTACTATTCCTGTGTTCATTTCAAATAATGGAAAGAGCCTTTTGAAAAATTCTACTTACTCTTCTAAAATTCTTAGAATTAATCTAAGTATAAAATAATGGAGAAATGATTGAGTAAATTAGGGTTCATCAGCTGATGGACTACTATACAGATATTTAAAACAAGATAACTACCAAGATTAAACACCATGGAAAGATATTTATGATTCAGAGAATAAGGGAAAAGAGAAGAATCCAAAGTTGTAAGTATGGACCATGCGAAAATAGGTTCACGAAAAAGACATGTTTCTTGATAGTTCTCAAGAAGGTAATTGAGGTAGCCCCAAACAATCCCTAGATCTTGGTATGTAAGATAAAAATCTATAGGGCATCTGCCTTAGATGATTTTGGATGAGTCTTAGGAAAATGGAACAATTAGGGGATTTCTCAGCAGTACCACTGCCAGTTTTCCCCGGGCACTTATATCAGTGTTTATTTGAATGGCTTCAATGAGGGTATTTTACTTACCCTAACTCAGAGGCTCACGATTTGAGAGATCGACAGAGGCTTCAATGTATTATAGTCTTGCTTTGTAGAAATTATTGGGTGGAATTTTTCTGTGAGTAAATGGGGCAGTAGAAATCCCTGCTTACCACTACCTTCCACCCCCACTTTGCCATTTGGCATCTGTCCACTTGTCTTTATGTTAACTATTCCAGCTTATGGTTCATAAAAGATCATAAAGCAATACTATGCCCACAGATTGAGCCCCACAAATAGCATTCACAAATCTCTCCTCTAGAAAATATTACCAAAAATGCCTCAGAATTCTATACATACAAAATTCCCTTTGCTTTTTTGGTCTGTGTTATGATTTGCGGGGGAAACGGTTTTGCTCCTGTATAGTGAATTCCTATAACCTTTTCCAAATTTATCAAAGGATAAAGAAAGGAGAGACTGGTGTATGTGAGGAGGGACATCCAGCCATGTTCCGAGGGAAGGATTTCACCAGCTGCCAAAGTGGCCCAAAAGAATTTAAAGGGAAGAGACATTCCAAGGAAGGCATAAGCCCTCTAGTTGAATTCATGCTAAAGATGCACTCTAGTGAGATCTGACTGTTGAAAAAGTATCTTAGGGTCTCAGTATTCCTCTTCTAGTTGAATCCTAGAGGAGAAAGGAGGCTTATTTTGAGGATGTGGTAGGAAGGAAGGCAAGCTACATGAGAAGGGATAGCAGGAGATGTAGGGAGAAACGTGACTCAAGATGTACGTGGGGATAGTTTGACTTCCAGGGAGAAGTGATTCTTTCATCAGTGCCTGTTTCCATCACTGCAATGCAATATCTACCCTCTCATATTTTCTGGCAGCCAATATTTCCAAACATCTGCAGGGATATATACAAATACTCATTTAAAATATTGAACCATGCATAAATTAAACATCATGTTTTAATGTATATGAAATACAGTAGCATTTTAGCAGTGGTTATATTGAAAGTGTAGAGTGAAAAAGAGAGGTAATGAAGAAAAGGATACTGAATATATCCAATTATTTTTGTAGGGTATAAAACGTCTCATAGTACATGTAGGGTTAACCTGAAACCTTAAAGCATGTTAATTGTAAAGCTCAAATAGTTCTGAGATAAGATATGATTTTGGTTTAGTCCATAAAATAAACTTTGAGTCTGGGGGCCAAGAAAGGATTTTCTCAGATATTGTGTTTCCTTTTTCCTTTTTCTTATTTTTATCAAAAAAGTATAAGGATAAAGTACAAAATGTATGAAAGATGAAAACTTTCTTGCGCCTTTCTGATGACAAAAAGGTGAGTCATTTGCTCAAAGCCAGCCCAGAAATTTTCTCTCATGCATCGTCGAATAAGAAGCCTCAGCTGGGCACCCCTCCAGCTGGTAAGAGGATCTCTGTGTCGTATGATGCAAAGGGGAGGGGCTGAACCTGCAGCCCTCCGTCTGCCCTTCCCTCTGGTTTCTGGCAGCCTTTCTGCACACAGATCATCCTCTACCACGATTCTGCACGCAAGTTTCCAGGGCTAGTCCTCTCGGCCCACTCCCATTTGGGTCAGAACCCTGAGCCTCTGTGGAGATGGAAAAGCAGGGAGGTCTGGCTCAGCCTCACTCTGACACAAAGGAATACGACCTTTAGGTTTCCCTGGGAATGGTTCGTGTGGTTGGCTGAGCCTCAAGATCAAGGTCATCAGTGTGATTCCTGGAAAGAGACGCAGAGTCGTTGTCTCCGGTCTGGGCCAGGTGCCTCAAATCCTAAAATTTTAGGATAGGCAGCGTATGCTGTGGTTCTTGAGAAGGACCAGGCAGGCGAGGAAGTTTGCAGTGACGCATATCAACACTTCCACTAGGGAGACATGTGAAGGCGTTTGTCCTTAGCCGTGTCACCTAGCTTAGCTGGGTCACCCGCACAAATGCAGCTCAGCAGCATGAGTATTAGAAATCAGACAAGGCCCAGGACAGGACAGCCCACGCTCCTCTCTAGGAGTCCAGTCCCACTCGCCTTTCCTTGCAGAGGGAAGTCCTTCTCTCTACTGTGAATTTCCATGGTGAAAACTACACATTTGGAAAGGAGTTCAGATGAAGGAAACTCTGTGGCTTCCTTGGTGAAGTAAACCAGTTAGGGCCAGAAAGAGGTGAGCAGCTAGTGTCAGAGTAGGAACCTACTTCCCGTCTCCCCTCCTGAATCATCGTGTAATAAGCTTCTGATATGCGGAAAGCCCTGAAGAAATGCAGAGAAGGAAGTGAATAAGCCAACTGCATTGCCTCCAAGCCCGAGGAACACCCTGCTTTGGGGATAAAACTGCAACTCTCGTGCCAACAGTTCAGGCAAGGGAACCTACACAAATAATGCTTGGAATTCAATGGACGAACGGCCCACAGAGATCTTGTGGTCATTTTTTTTTATATTGCCCTCTAAGATTGCCCTTTTGCTTGGTTGTTCGCTTGCTCGCTTTTGCTCAGGTGATGAGAGGAGGGAATAAAAAACCCACCTTCTGGTTCTGAGCAGCATCTGTTTAGATGACCCAGAGGGACATCATCCAGGTAAAAGAGGATGTGGAACTCTGCTACCTCACACCTCCTTCCTGAGTAAATGAAAAGCCAAGGGCTACTATAAAAAGTAATTTTTGTCCAGCTGTTGGGGGGAGGGAAGTATTTTCACACTCAGAACGTCACACTCCAAATTTTAACCTAGAGCTGTTTTCTGCTCTTACCCATAAAGTGATTCACAAGGCTGTGGTAGCTTTAGCGTCTTCAGAATGGTGGAACCAGCAGGTCAGTGGCCACCTGATGGAATTACACAACGTGGCTTATTTTGGAGGAAAGGGAAGTCAGGGTGAGGATCATTTATTTCATCAGCCTCGTGATCACAAAAGCTATCCAGGCTAAAAACAGTCTTTCACCACTCTGCCATTTATACTTCTCCCCCTAGCTTCCAAATTCTCATACTTAAATTCTCTTCTTGTGAAAACTACTTTGACTTAAAAATTCTTCCGTCTGTCCTTACTTTTCTATCACTTTTTCTCCTCATTGAATCCTTTCCATTATCCAATAATAGAAATAGGATAGCATAAGGAGTTGAGGAGGTTTCCTAACTCAACCTAAAACCAAAGAGTAAGAAGAAAAATGGAAGACGCTCTTACCCAGTTTCTTGGCTGTAATTAAGAAACCAGCCTGTGGCCAAGTCCAATCAGTTAAATGAAGAAAGCTGTAGGTTGGCCATGTGCAGTTACCATCAGACTGAGGTCATGATGACACTAGTATGGAGGTTTGACAAAGGAGACCCAAAGACCAAGAATTTCAGGATCAGGGGCTTCCCTGGTGGCACAGTGGTTGAGAGTCCACCTGCCAATGCAGGGGACGCGGGTTCGTGCCCCGGTCCGGGAGGATCCCACGTGCCACAGAGCGGCTGGGCCCGTGAGCCATGGCCGCTGAGCCTGTATGTCCGGAGCCTGTGCTCCACAACGGGAGAGGCCACAGCAGTGAGAGGCCCGCGTACTACAAAAAAAAAAAAATTTCAGGATCTGATTAAAAAAAATTCTTTTTAATTAAAAAAATTAAAAAAATTTTTTCAGGATCTGACAGTAAGCAGTAGGAAGACGCTTGATCTGGTGAAATAGCTAATGCTTAGGAGGTTACTGTGTGCTGAGCACTGTTCCGATCACCTTATGCATGTCAAGTTATTCCATCCTCACAATAAAGCTACCAGGTATTTACCATTATTATCTCCATTTTGCAGATGAAGGAAACGGAGGCACAAAATGGTGCCTGTGGTGGACGTGGAGAAGCACTGTCCTCCAAAGGATTTTCTCCCCGGCTGCCTTCAAACTGTCAGTGCCTTTAGGCTCTGCCTCAGCTATTTGGCCTGAGGTCATGACCTTCCCAGGGCAGCCTGCATTGGACAGAGGGACAAAGTATAAAGACCCAGCCATTGCCCCAAGAATTATCCCAAGATGGAACAATTCTGATGGGTAATAGTCACAACAGAGCTCCCTACCTGGTTGGTAGAAGCTTTGATGAACCTGTACCACATTTCAACTTCTGCCTCAACAAGGGTGACTAACCATCCCGGTTTGCCCAAGACTGTTCTGGTTTTAGCACGGAAATTTCTGTGTGCCAAGAAGCTCTCATACCAGGCAAACCAGATGGTTGGTTGCTTCGGACCAATCCTGCTTCCTTCCCCTTCCTTCTAAATATATTGATCCCTAATAATGATTTTGCACGGCAAACTCCATCTCAGCGTCCGCTTCCTGAGAAACCCACATGGACAGTGCCCTGATCACATCACAGACAACGGACCTTCCGGCATCAGACTGTGTGTTCCTAATCTCCAAGCTTCTGGAGATTATAAAAGTGTTCTGGTAACTTGAATGGTGTACTCAACAGAGAACAGAGGAAGATTCTCCAGGCTCCATACAGCCCAGGTGAAATACTTCTCAACAAGAATGAAAGTAGTTCACGTTCTTCAATATGCCAGGCAATGAGCTCACAGTGCTTTGTCTGTGAAGGAGGTGCCTATCAATATCCTTATTTTACAAATGAGAAAGCTGACGCTTAGAGAATTTACTTGCCCTACGATTTTAACCTAAGCACTCTGCTTCTAAATTAGAAGTTTAGATAAACCTGAGTAGCTTAGCATTATAGAATGGAGAGAATTTTTTTGGAGTAGAGGTACAGAGTGGGTTCAGTGAAGATTCTATATTAAAAAAAAAAAAAAAGACCCAGAAACATGGCAAGAGGTTACAATCCAAGTTATTAAAAAAGCTGAAAGAGTTTAAGAACAGGGATGTGAAATATTCAGATGTAAGTTGTTTATGTTGCAGTGAAGTAAATCTCTGTCGCTCTCTTCATCTTCTCGAGCTTTCCCAAATCTTCGGTGAAGTTTAGCACAGAAGAGCCACACATTCAGTATGTGTGTAAACCACAAAGGGGCTGCCTGAGCAGAGAACAGGGACTAGTAGAGGCAAGAAATCAGAGATAGAGGGGCCGTGAGGCAGCCCTCTCCAAATTCTTCTCATCCCCACCTGCCACCAGGCCTGGAGGAATTTGCAGAAATATTCAGGAGGTTATTAGGTTTTCCACAGGCCTGGAAAGAGATGTGAGTCTAATTTGTTTATATCTTTAGGGCTAGGGAGATTCCAGATGACAGCTGAGATGCACATGCATGACAAGATGTTTACGAAAATCAAAATGATAAAGGCAGCTATCTGGAGACGCAAGTAAGAAACTTGGTAATTTGTATTTTCTTTTTGGTGCTTTTTCAAGATTCCTGCAATAAATTGGTGTTAATTCTGTAATCTGAGAAAAGAGCAATAAATGATCAGTGTCTATTTCTCCTGTGTTCCTATAGAGACTCTTCTGTCTCTTGGGTGTGCCCAGTCCCTAAAAAGAAACAGATGAAACAAACACACAAAAAAACCATGCCACTGATTCATGCAGAGGTATTTCATATAGTTACAGAAATAGAGTCTACATATTGTGTGAGGCCTCATTACCTTAGTGTGAGAACATCCAAAACGTTTTAGGTCAATATCATGGGTCTAGGAAGAGAGGGTCTTTAAGATTTTAAGTTAATCCTTGAGACTTGGATCAGGCAAAGTTGATATTGATCAGGTCAACGTTTAATCCTGACTTGATTCTTGACTCATGTAATTTTGAGCGTGCAAGTAATTTTCTCTTTTTAACTTTCCTCTTCTCAAAGTGACCAATATTTTTTTTGCAAACAGATAATGCTTACAAAAAAACTTTGAGAGCTCTGAATTAAAGATTCTATATAAAAGGAGAGTTATGACACATGACTGTCCAATCCTCTTGATGATAGGGCTTAATTAGTACCTGGTAACTGATGAGCCCACCTGATGTCAATTTCCCCTTATAAATGGTGGCCTCCTTCTCCCCTGAGTGGTAAGGACGGCTGTCATGTCCTGCCAGCCGGCTGGCGCACACAGTGGAGTGTCACTCTGGGACCTGGCTTCGATATGTAAGATCCCCCTGTGCAATAGAGCATTAATGTCTCCGCCACTGTCTCCAGGGCTCTTTCTTCAGTGTCAAGGCTGGGCAACTACAGGGCTTGCAGGCCTGTGGGGTACAGCCCTACAGTCATTAAAAAAAAAAAGGAGAGAGCTTCCCTGGTGGCGCAGTGGTTGAGAGTCCGCCTGCCGATGCAGGGAACACGGGTTCATGCCCTAGTCTGGGAAGATCCCACATGCCGCGGATCTGCTGGGCCCGTGAGCCATGGCCGCTGAGCCTGCGCGTCCGGAGCCTGTGCTCCGCAACGGGAGGGGCCACAACAGTGAGAGGCCCGCGAACCCCACCCCCCAAAAAAAGGAGAGTTATGACTGTGATGTATTTCAATGTCATTGCTCGAACAGAATTAAAAACGTTTCCTTGCTTCTTTTGATAACACAGGTGGTAGTAAAGAATGAAACGGATAATCTAAAACATAAGTGTTTTTTTCCCTATTCATCAGAAGGGTTTAATAGAAAAAACAAAGGCACAGTTTAGTATTTTGAAATAGTTTAAATACTCTGGGGTGCAGAGGGATGCAAGATCCATGACGTCATGTCTTGGACATATCATCTTTGACTTGCTAATTTCCACACTTGGGCAGAGAGTGGTTGAAAAATGAATACTCTTTGTTTTTTTAGAAAATGAAGAGATCCTGAGCAAACGCATGGGAATTTTAAAGTGTCATTATAAAGAGAGAGGAGATTCTGTAAGCCTTTAGATCCATGCCCTTGTTTTTTTTTTTTGGCTGTGACGCATGGCTTGAGGGATCTTAGTTCCCCAAACAGGGATTGAACCTATGCCCTTGGCAGTGAGAGTACAGAGTCCTAACCACTGGACCACCAGGGAATTCCCAAGATCCATGTCCTCTTGACTGACAAGTCAAAATGTATTTTCTCTCATCCATGACATCATGGCCTGAACCTGAACATCAACCTTTGCTTTCTTTTGCTGAGATGGTACTTATTGCCCAGGAGCTGCTTCTGTTTCTGCTCCTGAGTCACTGGGCAAGATTTACTTCTGGGGTCCAACTTATAAACAAACATATCTAAATTTCATATTGATTTTAAGATTTCTTTATTGCTAGTAAGGACTTGAGAATTGTGAGGATATAAATGTTATCACTTACAGTCAACTCTAGAACTGATAAGCTAACCAGATGCATGTAACATCCGTTTATAGTAATGACAGCAATAAAATTTGTGGGTAAGATATGAAATTAAAAGGAAAAGTTTGTAACTAGGTGATATACTATTTTAAAGTTTTTGTATGATTGTTAAAAAACTTGTTTCTCTGGTTTAGATCCTGGTTCAGAAGCTAGCTGTAAAAGACATTGAGGGATAATTGGGGGAAAATTTGAACATGGACTGCATGTTAGGTGATATTAAGGAATTAATCTTTTTTTTTTTTTTTTTTGCGGTACGCGGGCCTCTCACTGTTGTGGCCTCTCCCGCTGTGGAGCACAGGCTCCGGACGCGCAGGCTCAGCGGCCATGGCTCACGGGCCCAGCCGCTCCGCGGCATGTGGGATCTTCCCAGACTAGGGCATGAACCCATGTTCCCTGCATCGGCAGGCGGACTCTCAACCACTGCGCCACCAGGGAAGCCCCAAGGAATTAATCTTAATTTTGTTCAGTGAGATAATCTTATATTCACTCTGAAGGAAAATGTTCTAACTCTTTAGTGATGTATGCTGAAATATTTGTAGGTAGGATGTCACTATGTCTCTAATTTGCTTTAAAAACTTCAACATAAAAAGTAAAGTGAGTTAGAAAAAAAAGTAAAGTGAGTTAGAAAAAATTAAAATTTGTTTCCTGCTCTCTGTTTACATTTTTTTTTTTTTTTTGTTTATTTTTTGCGGTACGCAGGCCTCTCACCGCCGCGGCCTCTCCCATTGCGGAGCACAGGCTCCGGACGCGCAGGCCCAGCGGCCATGGCTCACGGGCCTAGCCGCTCCGCGGCATGTGGGATCTTCCTGGACCGGGGCATGAACCCGTGTCCCCCGCATCGGCAGGCAGACCCTCAACTGCTGCGCCACCAGGGAAGCCCTGATTACATTTTTATTCATGATTTTTTCTTCTCAAGACATCTTGTATTCTTATTTGTTTATAGTTATTATTTTTATTATAAAAGTAAGATAACAATATTACAAAAATTGAAAAATTCATAATCCCACCTGCTCATCCCAAATATCATTAGGAGATGTATTTTCTTTCAATTCTTTCCCAAATTATATTGTGTTTTTTACTTTGATCAGAGTGTGTGTATGATTCAGTCTCCTATGTTTTTGCCCTTAACATTGTATCTTGGGTCTTGTTTCTTGGAAATTGTCTTAAATTTCCAAACATATATCCTTTCAGTGCTACTACAGGACAAGGTACTTTTTAACTTCCCTACAACCCATGCCTGTCCCTACTGTCTGTCTCCTGGCCGGTCAAGCCCAGGTGGCCATTTGCTGAACATATGTGGGTTGCCTCATGGCCAGTGTGGCACAGCTGGAATGGCACAGAAGTGAGTCATTGCACGAGGAAGTCTGGGCTCCTCCCCCACACCCCACACATAGCAGAGAGGTCGCCTTTAGGTCTTCTGCAAAACGGGGAAAAGTCTGTTGTATATTTGCATGGGGCCAAAGGACGACTCCACAGATGACGCCAGTTATAAAGGGGAAAACAGAACTTTACAATGGTGAAATCTGGGGTCACCACTCAAACCCTGTGACCAACTTCAGCATCACCAGTTGGGGCACACTAGACATTATGTACCTCTTGATATTGTGCAATAAGTAGTACAGGTCTTTATCTGTGAAGTAGTGCTGCCAAAAGGCTTACATCTCATGAAAACTTCTATATCTGCATTTCAGTTTACAGGAAGTCCAGGGGATTAGAAAAAACACGTTAAGTGATACCACGAGGAAACAATCGCACAAATCTAGAAGTTTGGACCTCGTACAAAACAACTGGCCCAGACTTCTCAACAAGCCAAAGTCATGTAAAGAAAGAGGGAGGGGGAAAGGGGTCTGTTTTATATTAAAAGAGACCTGAAATCCATAACAGCAAAATGCAATGTGTGTTCCTTCTTTGGATCCTGATTTGAATAAACCAGATATAAAAGGAAGTTGGGGGAAAGCTGGATATTAGATGATAATAGAAATTATTGAAAATTTGTTAGATTTGTCACATAGGAGAATGTTTTTATTTATTGGAGATTGTATGTTCATTGTACTATTCTTTTTACTTTTCAATATATTTATTAAGTATAGTTGATTTATAACATTGTGTTAGTATCAGGTGTACAGCATAGTGATTCATTTTTGTTTGTTTGCTTTTGGCAAATTATATTCCACTATAGGTTATTACAAAATATTGGGTGTAGTTCCCTGTATTATAAAATAAATCCTTGTTGCTTATCTATTTCATATATAGTAGTTTGTATCTGTGAATCCCATACTCCTAATTTGTCCCTCCTCCCCTCATCTTTGGTAACCATAATTTTTTCTCTATATGAGTCTGTTTCTGTTTTATATATACATTCATTTGTATTATTTTTAGATTCTACACATAAATGATATCATATAGTATTTGTCTATCTTATTTCAGTAAGCATAATAGTCTCTAGGTCCATCCATGTTGCTGCAAATGGCAATATTTCATTCTTTCTATGGCTGAGTAATATTCCATTATAATATATATATACCACATATTCTTAAGCCAGTCATCTATTGATGTGCACTTGAGCTGCTTCCGTGTCCTGGCTATTGTAGATAATGCTGCTATGAACACTGGGTACATGTATCTTTTCGAATTAGAGTTTTTACCCAGGAGTGGAATTACTGGATCATATGGTAGTTCTATTTTAGCTTTTTAAGGAAACTCCATACTGTTTTCCATAGTGGCTGTACCTTTTCCATGTATTTTAAGTATTTCATCATCAAAAAGGTCTTCTGTGAATGGCATGGAGGCAGGGGAAGGGTTATTCTTTCACTAGGAGCGGGATGGGGTGTTTCTATTATTTTCTGTTATAATAAATGAGTTACTGTTCAAGACATGAGGGATGAGATAATCAAATAATATGAAGTTACACAAAATTAAACAGATTATATTTTGTGTTGTAGAGTTTAATTTCATTTGCTTCTCTCTGAGATGGGAATAACACAGGCAAACAGTCTTAAATAGGAATACCTAATATGAAGTTTCTACTGCACAGGAGGAGAGAGAAGATAACTGTAATACATATTTATTCCGGACCCACCACGTGCCGGGCACCATGCCGAGTGTTGGAGATACTACAAGAAAGGCCAGTGTGGGGCTTCCTTGGTGGCAAAGTGGTTAAGAATCCGTCTGCCAATGCAGGGGACATGGGTTCGAACCCTGGTCTGGGAAGATCCCACATGCCACGGAGCAACTAAGCCCATGCGCCACAACAACTGAGCCTGCACTCTAGAGCCTGCAAGCCACAACTACTGAGCCTGTGCGCCACAACTACTGAAGCCCTTGCACCTAGAGCCCGTGCTCCACAGCAAGAGAAGCTACCGCAATGAGAAGCCTGTGCACTGCAATGAAAAGTAGCCCCCGCTCACCGCAAATAGAGAAAGCCCGTGTGCAGCAACAAAGACCCAATGCAGCCAAAAATAAATTAATTAATTTAAAAAAAAAAAAGAAAGGCCAGTGTGGTCCCTGCCACAGTGGAATGTACTCTCTGGAGGGGAAGACAGACAAAAACATGCAAACAGACAAACAACATAACAGGAGCAATTCCTCTTGTGGGGGAAACAAACAAGGGCCGCGAAAGAGAAAAACAGGGGTGATGGTCAGGAAAGGGGTCTCCTGGAGGCACACTCAGGCTGAGTCCTATGCGAGGACGACTGAGTCAGAGGATGGAGAAGAGGAGTGTAATCTAGGTGGAGGGACCTGTGTGTGCAAAGGTCCTCATGGAGGAAAGGAACGGAAGAAAACCAGTGTGACGTAGACGAAGTGAGCAAAGGGCACTGTGGTGAGCTGGAGAAATGGCTTTTAGGCCACGGCAAGGACTTTAGATTTTTTTCCTAAGTGTGATGGGAAGCCATATTCAATAGTATTCATTT